TGCTTATTTATTCCAAATTGCACTTGAAATCGTGTGATTACCTACACTAAATCTTAAGAGTGACCAGCATTTAGTTGCTCTGCACAGCAATACAGATATTGAGAATAAAGGAAATGATTGCCAACCCCAGAAATTCATTGTTTTAAATGAATTACTAATAGCACCATTTGGCACCCTAAAATCACAATGGTAACCCCACAAGCCACCCCTAGGACTCATGGGGGGTGGGAAATTTTAACCTTGACTGGGTGGGGTCAGGAGCCCATTACCCGGTGGGGTGATGTGGGAAGGCCTTTTTATCAAATTCTCTCCTTGAGCATGGACAGCAGTCAAATGCCTTTGGGTTGAACAATGGGATGTTAAAGTTTCAAATTGATAAATGGATAATTTCATCATTGATTTAAGTGTTATACCTCCCTTAGCTGTCCTCTCAAGCAATGTCTTTCGAAACTGTGTTCAATCAGACAATTCATGTAAAGTTCATGGAAATATCATGTACTTCAAGACGTCCTCACAAACATCTTAACAATGATTTTAAATCTTCATTTATAATACGGAGTTACAGATTTCTGTCTAGGAGCTCAAAGCTAATGGTATTTTTGTGAGCCTGTAAGTATAATTTTAAATTAACTGTCATACTACTCTCTGCTGATTTGACCCTTTTCGCCAATTTTTTTCATAACAGGTCACTTCACTTCTGCAAAAACAGTTGTCATGAACTCATAAGTTATATCTTCTGAACTAGTTGGTCTAAGATCTCTTCTTGAGGAGACAAAAGAGTACCCTTAAGTTAGTAAATCGGTTTGCCATTATGTAAAATTTTTCTATAAGTAACAAATCAGGATGTAGCATTCTGGAGCTTATAGCTACTGCAAAGCCTCTCCCGCGTTGCCTGATGAGAGTATCTTTGATTTTTGGTGCCAATCTTGTAAGGTTTTTTTTTTTTTTTCAAGAGTTACGCTCGCTTATACAGCAAGCTCTCACGTTAAAATTGTCCAAACGAACAATTTTGTGCGACTCGTCTTTCTGTCTAGTGGCGGTAATATTTTTTCCTTCCCATTCTGTCCTCAGTAATCTACGTCAGTCACTCAACGAGCACGTGCGCAGCAATAGGGGTGGGGACACTTAGTCATTTATCACTAGCAACCAAGCCTTAATTGGTGAGTTGTTCCAACTGTAGAAGACTGGGTAACCAGGACTCGCAAGAGACCACCACTACGCTGTAAGAAGTGAAAACAATTATCAAACGGAGAGCAAGTCAGTTAAGGATTTGTTTCGTTTCCAATCGCAGTTCAGTAAAATATTTCAAAACAGTCTCTTTCAGTGATTTTATCTTAATTCAACAAAATTGTAATTTAGATGAACAGGTCACATCTGTAAAGTAAATCATTCTGAGCGTACAAGATATTAAGCTTACGAATTGGTAAGAGAGGGGAAGAGCGAACTTTAAAGAAGTCGAATTTCCGCTTGGAATTAAAGCAATGAAAATCACCGATTTAGAAATTCTGAAGTTTTTGTGATGTTCTTTGAGTAGATTAATTGATCTTGTGTACTTTTTCAAATGAAATTACTACCGCTGAATAAGCTTTTGTCAAAAAAACAAAAAGTCAAACGAAAAAAAAATTATGGTGACCACAATGAAAAAACGGAAAGATATTACCGATAGCCGTAATTGGCCAAAATTTTAACCATTAACCGCAAAACCCCATCACCCCCATTGAAACCCTCTATTACAGCTGTAAGCCGAACGAAATTTTTCATCTCTTTCGACAAATACGGTCTTAATAAATCTATCATAAACATATATAGGTTGATCATGATTTACACATCACTTACCGCGGTCCATTTCTTAGCTGGGCAAGTTTCCCGGCCAACACAGCCGCTAATCCTGACACCCCCTCTTTACTGAGAAGGACACCTTTCTCTGCCAAAACTCGCAAAACTGTCCTTAAGAGGTCCGCGTCACTGATTTTAGCAAAAAGAAGAAAATGAAATCTGAATTAAATCTGAGGGGGATTGCAATTTTCATTCATTTCTGGACTTGGAGGCGTAAATAACTTTGCTGTTTTTTTGGAAATGGCAAAAATTAATTCTTGTTTCACCCTGTTTATTGTGATCTTATGAGGGTCTCTATGGGGTTAACGATTAGCCAAAAAAAAAAGGGAAAAATTAACAGATAGGCATAAGAATTGACAAAATTTAACCACTGATCGTAAAAAAAAGTTAATTGTAAAAAGTTTTTTCTGCTAACTTTAACTGTCAGAAATTAATCGTAGCCTTAACATGGCCGAGATTAAATTCGCCGGTAACGTTTACCTGATTTCAAGTGCATTGTTTAAAGCATCAGTCGAGTCTAGCAGAAAGAAGCAAAGGGAAGATTGTTACCTTACCTAATAAAAGGTTTTACGTGGAAGTGTCTGCCGACTGACGCGAGATTACCTAAACTTGAAAATTACATAGATAACCGCTCGATTTTCTTTCCTTCCCATCACCTTGGCTCTACAATAGAGTTCTGTATTATGTTATGTCCATCAAGATGATTACACACTTTGTTATAAACAATTCAACTTTCTTACAATTGTTCACCGGTGCCACCTGATTAGCACATGACCTAAGAAAAGGTAGCGTATATGTTTTCCTTCTCTTTCACTCAAAGCCCCATGCATTATATTAGCATTCTAATTAAGCGAGATAATCAATTCTGCAGGCTTAATCAGTGAGCTTCTACCGATCATCCCAATTCATATTTCTATGCAAGACTTTTCCAGCACTTCGTTAAGAGAGATCGCCATAGGGGAAGGCTCACATATAACGTAAGTAAAAATCGCTTTCATATTCATTTTTTAATCAGCAGTTCACAAATATGATTTTCAAATATTCACAGTCATTTGAAGTAACTATAATCTACTAAAAAGCACTTGCAAAGTTGTCCAACCAATCAGAGCTTAATTTGAAAAAGTCGACAGCCAATCAGGAAAAAGCATATCAAACAAAGCCTTATCGGTCAGTATCACATGTTCACCTGTTTTCCCGCGCTCGGAGGAGACAATATACGCAACGTACCTCTTTTCCGCTCTTTGTCCTTAACCTGTATACCCTGCAAAAAGAATGTTTTGTATAGCAGGCCAAGAAAACGGTGTAAAAACAACCTCAAGTCTTAAAGCGATTTATGTCCTCACTTACCATTACTTTGATGAGGGGGAAAATACTTTTTATAGAATATCTTAACGCTCTAACAAGGTTTGCGTCACTTTCAGGAACGACGACTGCGTCCAAGTTACAGTTACATTGTTCTAGGATCTCGAGCCCCAGGGTACCCAGACCAACTAGCATGGTGGGGCTGTGGTCACTAAGAAAATAATTAAGAGAACATGCACAAGCTTGAATTTCTCTTTAAATAAAATGTTGTATAAAGACACATTAGAAGAAAATTTAAAGGGATTATAGAGCAAATATGAAGTAATCTTAATCGTCCAAAGAAACCGAGAGAGCACTTTGGCGCAGTACAGACGTGGGAGCAGAAATTTCGATTCCTTAATTTAAAGCTATCCATATTTTTCTGGATAAAGATTATCGCCTCTTACCGAGACTTTTGCGTTTTTAAACCTAATAAAACGAATATTATCCCTCACTTTTGCGAAATCGGATTTATCGGATTTATCGGTGTAAGGAGCTAGAGTCCAAAATCCGTAGAAATATGTATTAAATAGATTGTGAGTTAAAATTACCACAACATTCAGATTACATAAAAACTCCGAAACTTCTTAAAAATTCCAAACTAAGGGATGGCAGATTAGCTTGAACGAAAACCCCAAAAACGGCTAACTCCGTAAAAACGAACAACAAAAGATACACGAGAAAAATGCCGAGGTCAATTTTCAATGTCAAGGTTAAGTTTTTTGACGCGTTTGGCTCATTTGTAAAATCATGCGCGCCGCGCGTGAATACAAAAAGAATACAGAAGGGCGTCTCGATAGGGGAAAAATGTTTATCAAAAATTCAAAACGAAAGAGATTTTCTACAATCTGCGGCACTAATCTCCACGGGTACGCCAATCGTAGCTATTCATTTACTTCTTTTATTGACATAACCCACGTGCATCTGATTTTCCTCATTTTTCACTACCTACCTATCTATATATTCCAGTCTAACGCCCCTTCCAACCTCCTCCGCGTACTTCTTTGCCTATTTGAAATAATTGAGAAAATAAACGTATAATTTACCAGGAAAGCTTTCAACCAAAGAGTGTGCGCTGAACGCCTTAATTTAGTTAAACTTCTTTGGAACTTATTATTTCATGCAAGGAAACTTGTTCTTTCAAGTTAACAACGTTCGCTTCTTTTGGTAAGATTTAAATTGTGTTTTTATCTAAAGTGGTTTTGGTTTCGCTTTTAATAACTTAATTTTGCTGCTCCTCAGTTATTCTTCGCTGTAGGTCAATAAACCGATATGATTTTCTTTTTAATTTGACTGACAATTCAAATATAATAAACGTAATTTTATGGCCTTATTGTGCAGTCAAATTCAAACTGAATAAAAGACATTTACAGATAAAAAAAAAGAAATTTTTACCCTTTAACTCCCGAGATCTGAGTTTAAATTTCCTCCCCCTAGCTGCTCTACATTTTCTTGCAAATTAGTTATGAGAATTTGGTGTTAGATCAAGATAACAACTTCTACCTGACAAGTTTGAGTATTCTCATTGCTTATTTGCTGGATAAAGCGAGGACATTATAGGAGAAGTTACACATCAATCACTAGTGAGAGTTAAATTGTTAAATCACTGTTTTGTGAACCAAAGAATCATATTGTCCTTCGTCTCATCTATTTGTCATTGTTGTTGATATTGCTGGTTTTGTTTTTTGGTTCCTTTGACGTCTTTGCTCTCTTCACTATAATACTTTTATAACCATTCAAAGACTTGTCTTTCCAAACTCCAGTGGTGGTAGTGCATTGTTTTGTTTCATGATAAAAACAGTCAGTTAACTATAGATGCCTTTGATACCTCATCGAAATCTCTCCCACAGCTCACAATGTTCTTTCCAGGTTTGCTCAACAACTGTTCCTGAATTTTACTTCGTTCGGGGACTACTACTGTCAAGGGTACCCCGAGTTTGGGTCCGTAATAGAACAGTGCTCGGATAAAGGGCCAGGATTCTGACGCCGTGATAACTCCTCGACGTTTCTGATCCTGCAGGTCAACAGGGAGGGAGAAAAAGAAAGAAGAAATTGGTATACTATAAAGATAACTTGGTGTCAGAGTGGGGTCTATTTAACAATTATTCGCCGAAGGCGAGGTGAATATCGTCGAATAATCCCCGTGACGAAGTCGAGGGGATTATTCGACAATATTCACCGAATCTGAGGCTAATAATTGTTTTAGTATAATTTCAGAGCTGAACAACAGAGAATTTTCTAAAATCATAACATTTTAGTAACATTTATTAACTTTTTATTTTAACATTTTATATAAACCGCGTGGAGCAGTTTATATAGCGTCATATAAGGAATCGCTCGACCAATCAGATTGCTGGAAACTCTTTGCTCAGCTCTGAAATTATACTAAATACCTCTTATCAATCAAGTTAAAGTTCCGCACAGTCGAACCTCGATTATCCGGACTATAGCTAGTTGGGACTAGACGAAATAGTCCGGATAATCGAGGGTTCGGACAATCGAGAATATTAATATTAATGAGGAACAAAAACTGATTAAATTAAGAAACTGCCACATTTAATCTGAAACAAAAAAATTACACATCGTTTGGAAAAGATTTGGTCTACACTGTCGTACGCGAATACCTCTACACATGTGTATTAACAATCAATATGAATGAAAAATGTTTTTACATCGGCCTAAAACGTTGAAGTAATTGAGTTTCTCTTAAAGAAGAACACCGCCTTCACTTCCCTTTTCAATGCTGTAGTTTTAAAAAGAATGCGGCTACGATCTTGATCATGACTGATAAATATTCGAGAAAAAATTGGAACCAGAGAAAAAGTCTGGATAAACAATAAATCAGGATAATCGAGGTCCGGATAACCGAGTTGCGACTGTACTTAAGTTACTAACGTGGGCCATTAATCCGAGCAAAAAAAAAAAAAAAGAAAAAAAAAGTAGGATCGGTAACTTAGAGTACGTTCTGGGAGAAAAAGGTTGGTAAAATGTCCACGACATCTCTGAGTTAAAATTGATCGGGAAAAAACCCAATTTAAGCAAGCTTTTGAATTTAGAGGGCCAAACAGCGAAAAATACTACCCGGTAAATTAACCAATAATAGCTCTCGTACTAAATGATCTATCAGTTATGCCATGCTTTTATGATCGAAATTTAGCACAGCGGTTAATCAGAGACGTTCTTTCCCTTGTAAAAAAATATGAGGAATTAGAAACTTGAGTGTTAGAGTTTTGTCATTACGTCATGGATGCTTGATGCTCTATGCATCTTGGGTTCGAGCATTATTTTTCCAGCATGACGAATGTGTAAGTGAAAGCATACGTGGGCCGTGAGAGAATTGGCGCAATCCATGATATTGTGCCAATTCTCGCACGACCAACGTAACCATTTGCTCTTTCATTAGCGAGAGATACCTAACACTTGAGAATTAGAACGTAAAGTGAACACGAGTAACGAGGTAAGATGCGGGAAAACGTGACCAAAAAGCGATTGATTCAGGTTTGCATCTAATTGGCTATTAGGATGGTGTGATTTATCTAGACCAATCAAAGCATATCAAGTCCTTGGGTCAAGCTCGATTTTCCCCACCCTCTCGAGTCCGGTCTTTTTCGTTCCTTCCCGAGAAGAGGAGCGCGGGCTATGGTTCCCGAACAGTGGCTGGTAATCGAGCCTAACTTTGTGTCCGATTCCGGTCTGACAAAGGGCGAAAAGACGCATCATTTATGTTCATTTTCTTTGTTTGACTCTTTTGTTGAGAGCACAAACGCTTAAAGTATCGGCTCTTAGCCGAATGCCTCAGCGAGAAATTTGAAATCATCGGTAATGGCTTAAGTGACAAATATAATCTGCTTCGGAGGAGGGGTAAGGAAGTTTTGTGAGTGAAGTAAAAATGAAGAAAATCAATAATCGAAGCAATCTTGGTTTTCTTTTTACACCCAATTCAAAATTTTCGCGTTATGTTTTACTGGATCATAGTTTTCTTACCTCTGGTAAAACTAAGAGAGAGTTAAGAACTGCTCTGTCAAAGTAACTGTAGAATCAAAAGATAATAATTTAATGAGAGAAGATGAAGCCAAAATTAAACGCAACTAGACAAACTTGCAATTTATCATGACAAATGTGATGGTGATAAAGTAGAACGTCTTCTTTAGGACAAGTCTATTAAGGGGATATCCCTCGCTTTTGCTCCTAAGAAGAAGCTTACACGGTAAAAGTTGTGGAGTGTATTTCGATTGTGTGTCTGTATGTGTGTGTGTGGGTGCGTGTGTGCGTGCATGTGTGCGTGTGTGTGTGTGCGTGTGTGTGTGTGTGTATGTGTGTGTGTGCGTGCCTGCGTGCGTGTGTGTTTAGGAGGGGGGGTATGGGTCCTTTAAGAGGTGTTTCCACATTATAAACACCTGCCGGTTGGGGAAAGATTCTCCTCTTTCAAGAGGACATGAATTCCGACATCAACTCCAAAACAGGTCATCTGTCAAGAGACAAAGATAAAAATTAAACAGATAATGCGTATAAAAATGATAATAATTTTAATTTTCCCATGAAAGCTTCTGGTCAAAGACTTCCTTTCTTATCTGCCTTTCCTATAATTTGATAGCGTTATAATTAGAGCAATTTTCAGCTTGATGTCGAAAGTAATCCGGGATTGTTTTGGTTTTGTCTTACTTCGCTGTGTGATCGGTCCGGAAAACTTGCGCCACTCTCTCAACCAATCAGATGCAAAGCTGCAACCATTCACTGACGACTTGGTCGCCCTTGTTTTCCCTCGTTTTAGGCAGTTTGCTTGTTTTTACTCTGAGTTCTCATTGGATCTTAAATATATTTTTCCTTCTTCTGATTGGCCGTTGTTATTACTTTGGTCGTGGTTTTACGACATTCAATCGAAAAGCGCTCTGTACAACTTATTCAGTGGTTCCGTACTTGTAATACATGCGGATATTTTGCGAGTTTCGTAGTATTTTTCCCGAAAATCACGCTATACGATGGACCTGCCGAATCATATTTACTGAAAAAAGAGCAATACAGCTTGCTTTAACCGTACCAATTACATCAACAACTAAGCGATCTTAAACACTCTATGAACAGTAAATATAACACACCAGTTTAGATAAAAAATAAAACCTTAAAATCTTACCAGGCACGGAGTAGGCTGAAATAGTTTTTTCATCCTCATTCTAGCCATGTAAATTTTGGTTAAAGTCAGTTCTTCGCAATCCTCCATGTTTTAGCTCTTCAGGCTAAAATCTTAGAAAAAAAAAAAAATTGGAATAAAACCACAACAGTTTCCCCCGCCGAGAAGTGAAGAGATTGATAATTATCGTGTTGTGTTTCCAAAGTTCGAGGCTATCGTGACGTCACAAACTCGAATTGTTTTCGGTGAAGCGCGAGCTGCTTAGTCTCCCTCGCAGCCGTTTTTAGTCTCGTCACGTTTGTGGGGAGAAGCGTTGCGTGACGAGACTAAAAACGGCTGCGAGGGAGACTACGAGCTGCTTGTCCTCAGTACCTTTTTCTCAACCGCAGTAGTTTGTCATGTCGGACCAGTGATAATTTTTTTAAGCCGCGAGCCTGAAAAAGCATACTTTTTCAGTGACGAACTGACTGACACTCAACGGAAAAAGAAAAAGCTACAATTTTTTCAACATAAACAAGCAATTATTAGTCAGACATATGTAGCCTTAATTCCAGATCTTCCAGGCCACGAAAGATGCGGTTGAGTTTCCGTTTATCCCAAAAACCGCCTGAAAATGAAATGAAAATCCAGCAAAACTCCCTGCTACGATTCCCGACAAGGTCATAATATCGATTGAATATAGTTCTGAATATCTGCTCAACCAGCATTGCAGAACTAACCTCATGAATTTTCTTCAAGGTTTATATACCGCTGGCTATCATCCACTGAAGACTCAAGCTCTTATGATAAAACATATTTGAAACCCTCCACCTTTGCCAACACTATCGTGACAGTAGGTTAAAGAAAAAAATAAACACCAAAAGACTTAAAATGGAAGATCTTTAATCTCGCTTTCCATCTGACAGTAAATACATACCTACACATACACAATCTTTATTTAAAAACGATTATTTTTAAAGCTGTAAAGCTTGTGAACCTGATTATATTTACAGTTTCTTTCGTTAGAGTGTGTGTTTCATCCTGATGCTAGATTAGTCATATTTCCCACACGGAGAAAAAGATCTGTGTAGTTGGATTAAAGACAGTAGTTTAATCGTGTTATCACTACGAACATTCTCCTCTACTTAATGCACTCTGTGCCATATTTTCCTATGATCAGTCTTTGTGAATTTCCAAGGGAATAAGGATATAAAGAATCCTCTGATTTGGTGGTAAAATCTTTCACGGCTTCTGGAATACTGCGCGAACAAGGTCCAGAATTCAGTCACGCACTCGGTTGAGAGAGCTTAACCAGTCACGCAGATGATGTCCAGTCACGCAGATGATGTCCAGTCACGCAGATGATGTCCAGTAACGCAGATGATGTCCAGTCACGCAGATGATGTCCAGTCACGCAGAGGAAGAGTCACTCTGTTCTCTACCAAGGACTAGGTCTGCCTGCTCGATGATCTACAATGAGAAAAAAAATCGAGTCGTTCAATACAAAAATCCACCCAACGAAGAACGTCAGAGGCAGGCAAGAAGAATAGTGTACCTTCAGGAAGATACATTCACCAACGCAAGAAAGGTGCTAAGGATTCAGAGCAACCTTTGGGGAATTGAGTTGTCGGCTATAAGTAAACTGTAATAAATATCATTTTCGTTTTGAATTTTAAATTAGAATTGTTCCCTCCCCCTCCCCCGCTTTGTATTCTTTTTGTATTCAAGCGCAGCGCTCGTTATTTTATAAATTAGCCAATCACGTCAAAGAACATGATTGGCTAATTTAAAAAATTTAAAGAACGTTAACTATGACGTTGAAAATTGACGTGGAAAATTTTTTCGAGTACCGTTCGTTGTTTGATTTTACGAAGTTAGATGGTTTTTGCTTTTTGTTGTCTCTCAGTTTGGAATTTTTGAGAAGTTTCTTAGTTTTTACTTAATACGAATGCCGTGGTTATTTAAACACATATTTTTTTAAATACATATTTCTATGGACTTTGGATCCTAGCCTCTTTTTTTCGTTTTTGGATTTTTAACGCACTAAGAGTCCCACTCTATGGATTTCTTTTTAACAGATTCCACCGAAAGAAAAAAATTCTTTATGGAAAGATAAACGGTGCCATATGACGCTAATGTGTAGTAGCTATCACACTACACCTCTTGTTACAACAAATTTTGAGGGTCAGCGGCCTATCCACATAGTAGGGTTCAGTCCCCTCGCGTCAGTATATATTTTAGTTTTCGTGCGACAAGTTTCATTATTGTTACGTACTCGTCGTTGTATGTTCGTCGTCCTTCGTCTCGTGTTCCTTCAGATCCACACCTTCAGATATATTTTAAGCTTTCATTTCGCAAGGTTTATTTCGTTTAAAAGTTGTCATTTATTGTGGGTAGTTAGATTTAGTGTAGTGTAATTTTGTAACCACTGGTCAAGAATAAAATGTATGGTTCGGGTAACCATTGAGAAATGATACCGGTGCATTCGCTACACCTTTCATAGTCACTAATGAAGTGCCATACAAAGCGTCACATGAAAGTAAAGCTCACAAGTTTTTACGTTTATGGTCACTCGTCAGGGTTTCATTCGCGGGCTTAAACCAAAAAGTTAAGCCCATCTTGTGTGACGCTCTGAATATCATCTTAATAATAAGCGGAGAAAAGAGTTGACTCACCGGGTCAAAGTTAACATTAGCGAAAAGTCCCTGGATAAATCTCCTGATGTGAAGCTTGAATTTGTACAAAGCCAAGATGTCACACACTTCAGAGTACAGACAGAGATCTTGAAACAAATGAGAGCACTTCTCTCTTAACCTGTAAGGGAAAAAAAAAACTATGTAACATGCTGTCTTCGCCACTAGCATCAAAGAACCTCCTAAAATAAATACTCGACAAAGTTCGGGGGATTACTACTACGGTATTTTAAAT